TTCTTTATAGCATTTTGGTTATAGAAGAGAAGAGATACTGTAGATATAGATGTAGCACACCAATGTAACAATTGTTCCGTCTATTCTTGTACGTCAGTTATCTACCTTAGTGCCTTCTATCCTTGTACCTTGGTTATCTAACTTAGTGCATTTGTGCCACGTAAAGCGTGAATATTCTATAAGGTTCATTATTATATTTACTAAAGGGAAACATATTGTTTTTGCTCAGTTTCTTCCTCTTCTTCTCTCAAACAGTGACCTTTGACTTGACCAATGACATGATTTATTTGTTTACGTCTGTCACCATGGTGACTGGTGTTGGGTTACATAATGTTGCAATTTCATGGTCTGCTCTGCTCCTGTCACCATATACTAGTAGTACATGTATGTGAATATGCTTTGCAAATGTTACTTCTCTAGTTGTCAAAATATGGCATGTTACTCTTTCGTTCTCCAGGCTAAGATCACGATCGACAACTGGGTCGGTGGTCTGGAGCAGATTCTGGTCATGCTCCTGGTCATCGGACGCTGGCTGCTGCCCAGAGGCGACCTGACACGTGACGAGCTTTCCCAGCTGCTCTTGGTCTACATCGCCATGGCTGCAGACATCGTGGAGCTCTTCCAAGTCTTCGAAGAAGACAGGGTTGGGAACAAAGAGGTGATCGTCTACACCGCGCTCTTCCTCTTCACCTGGAGCCTGCTGCAGTTCACCATCGTCCTCACGGCGGTCAGGGGGCGGACGTCCCGCCCGGGTGCGATACACAACATCGACGGCACGGCGAGGAGCGGGGCAGTAGCCGACGCCGGCCAAGAGCAGCAGCCTCCGGGAGCCGGCAACGGCAGCAGACGCAGAAGCACCCTCCACCGGCTCGTCTCGGAAGTGCAGGAAAGGAACCTGCACCTCTGCGGCTGCTGCCATCCCGACGTCTTCGCGATGGTCATCACCATCGTCATGCAAGACGGGCCGTTCCTGGCGTTCCGGCTGTACCTGATCTTCCGCGAGCGCGTGCTCACCCAGGGCGTGTTGTTCTTCGTCGGGAAGAACTCGCTCCTCATCGTGCTGCAGCTCTACCGCATCGTCATCATCTGTTCCGGTCAAAAGGAGGAGGAGGAGGAGAACAAGCCCGTAACAGGGACGGACGTACAGCCAGAGGAAATCATCATGAAGGACGAAATGGCGCCAGAAAATCCCGCAGCTGCAGAACTAAGGGGCGTCCAAGCACAGCCATAGTAGAGAGCACGTTGGCAAAACGTAGTCGTACTTTGCATGGATGAGCGAAACTCGGGATTTTTTTCACGGCTTTCATTGGAGCAGTTAATTTGCCATTTACAGGTGATGTATATTTCGTACGACACAACATTGGAAAAATACGGACGTGAGGGTCTCCTGTATTATGCAAAAACTACATCTAACGAGACCGGTTCTTCCAAATGTTAGGCACAATACATCAATACGTATCTAATAATCCATAAAAATTGATATCCATATATGTAATTAACCATATATTAAGCTTATGTATGACTCTTTTCAAAAACACGATGCAAAGTGTAGTGCAAATCAATAACAAGAAGCCATAGGTGACAATCCTCCGCGAAGTTTTATATATTGCAACAAAAACAATCCCAAGCGTCAACGCCAGACCTACTGTGCAGACATTAGGCAACGGTTAATACAATGAGGGCGCGTCACAACCATAAAACATAAAAAAGACCTAAATCCACTGCTCCCAGGGCGTGTAAAGATACTGTGCTTCAAGCTCGAAGTTCATTTTAATTACACACACACAATCATTGCATTCACATAAAGATCATGGCACTAGTAACAAATACAACCCCACCGTCTTACCGTTCCTGTTACTTATTAAGCGCGACTGGCCAGGCATGCAACAGTCGCACGGCCAGCACCGCGAGTGTTACTTACCACCGGTCAGATACCTCTTGTCAATTACCTCTAAACAGATTACTTCAATGCGCTGAAAACATCTCAACGACCTTATAGGGATGTTTCAAAAATAAGCATTTACACCAATATCAAAACTGCTAGGGTATACATAGAAATAAAGTCCATAGGCGACAATTCTCCGTGACGTTTTATATTTTGCAGATTGAGAACAGTAATAGTGTATGTAAACAGTGTATGATCACTTAACAACTGGTAACAATGTATAGAGGCTTTTCATTGACGTCATAATAATTACCCTTCATGTAATGGGGGTATTGTTTTTGCTCCGTTTCATGTTTTGGTCTGATATCTGAAGATCGGTGAAAAGGAACTGTATGATATTTGGCAGATTGATGTATGGGGCCTTGGAGATTGTGTAGATTGACTTTGAGCCCCTGGTGATTGACCTTGGTACTGCAGTTTAATTTTTTTATTCTATTGTTGGCGCGTTATGGACTGTTTGTGCGATGTTAAGGTAGCATGTAGTTGTTATTATTATGGTTTAGTGGTTTAAATTTGGGTTTCCTAGCTGTTTGCGTTTGATATTTACAAAATGTTTAACGTTGGTCTTTTAGTGTTGAATGTTTGGAAAATCTGGTGGATGGTTTGGTATAATTTTTGGTATGTGGGTAGTTGTTGAGTCTCTTTGTGTTTTAGAGTGCATTAGCAGCTGCAGGTTGTCGTATATTTGTATTACTTACTTTAAAAGGATTTCTACATTATCACCCCTATTTTATAGTAGTGTGGTCTTTGTTGACCCCAATTGGGACACAGTGTATCTATTTTTACCTCCTGTTTGACAGGCTATATATTTCTTTGGTCTGGTTGTTTTTGGGTCATTGACCTGCCGGCCTTGCTAAGGGGGTGGTTTGTTTGTGTTGTGATTAGCGAGTAGGAAACAGACATCTGTGCCTCTGTACCCCCCCCCACCACCT